AAAACGGGAAGCGATCTGCGTTGTGTTGTTGAACTTTCAAGTTGGCGGGCATGTTAAAAAAGCTCGTTACTAGTTGTTGAGTTTGGGCTTGATTGAATGATATTATAACAGTTTTAACTAAAAAAACTGGCTTCAGATTCACAATAGAAGGAAAACCACAAAGTTTTCAGTTGTCAACCCAAATTTGGCAGCCTTCCATTTATTATCAATTACTGGTAAAAACATTTCTTGATGATTCATTAATATCTATCTATATTTTATTCACCACAATCACTAATTTGCAAGGAATACATGCCTTTTCAATAAATAAGAGAGAGATAAATCACAAACAATATCATTTTCCAGTTGCAAAATTTTATAATTAGTTTTGATCTGGCGATTTACTTACAGACACCCTAAGAAGACGGTACATATAAATTACATAATATGTTACACCCACCCACACAGGAGAGGCCCTCATGCATTCCTTCAAGATGAGGGAAGGTAAACCGTGATTTGGTTGTTGAATGTCATCCCGGGTAAAAGGATTACAGTACTTACACTCTCGGTGTACGAGAGGGTACAAACTGTCGAATATTGCCACCTCCCCCTTCATCACCCTCCCCTCCCTCTGTCTAACCGAACTAAGTACTCCTGACTTGTGTCATTTTCCCTCTGTTGGCTCTTGGGTTGACAAGAGTCACGGTCAGTAGAACTGGGTGTTCCTAAGTCGATACACGCAACTGGTTGTAGAAGGTGTGATGCCAGATCTATAATTAAGGAAATTCCTGACCGACAGTGAGTCGAGTCCATTTTCCCCGCAATTTACTTGAAAAAATTGCTGCACCTTCTCCATGTCATCCAAGTTGGTTACGATATCTCGAGAACTATGACCACAGATTCATTTTATTTAGCACGGCGTCACGGTCAGCATTTGGGAGGTCTGGAAACGAGCACTGTCTCAGTGTTGGATCGGATCACGACCTCTGCAGGAACGTGTTTGAGAAAGGATAGAGTTTTGCTGGTGTCTACTGTCTGCTTTAAGATGAAGTTTAAGATTTCTCTTTTCGCCACGATAAAGAATATTACAAAGATCTTCCACTGGGCAAAAGACCGCTAGGCCCTATTACAAAACTTGGAAATCCTCAAGAAAGCTCATTTTGTGGCCGTGAAACATTTTCCAGTTTTGCTTCCGTTAGTTATTATAACTACACAAATACATTACACGCCCTTGTAAAGAACACAACACAAGACCAGCGGAATTTTAATGGGTTGAAGAGGGGAGGAGAGTGGAGGGGGCGGAGGACAGGAGGGGGCTAGGAGGGCGCCGGAAGGCTCCTTAAGATGACCATTACACTTTTATAAAATATGTCGGATATAATGGCAATCTGTACCTATGGCTACTGTTGAAAAACATTTTGAACCAAACCAACATTAAGTTCTGGTACCTTTGGAACTATCCTCCTGCACCCTCGTGACTTCTCTATTTAATAATAATAATAATAATAATAATAATAATATTAATAACAATAATAATTAAAAATTTATAGCGCGCCTTTTCCATGCAGATATAATCAAAAGCGCGCATTCTTCCGTCTAAAAACCCTGGTTCCGGTCATTGACTTTGATTAGTTCCCTAGAATAGGAACTAGGCCCTTACGGTTTTGACTACCCCATCCTCTTCGAAGGGAGGGTTGAAAAAGTCTTGTCAACAAGTATTTTTCTTCGCGTATTTGCTTTTTTCAGAACTGTTGATGACGCGCTTTAAAGTTATTGATGCAGTGCTTTAGTTTTAATTAGAATCATTGCAAAAAAACACTTTTTAGCCAAGACAACTATTTATTTAAAGATTCCTCTTACGTTTGACGCTAGAAAAACAGATTTTATGAGAACTCCGATACAAATCCTGTGAGGTCAACTAAAAAATGTTCTCCCAGATACCATACTCTCCGTCTTTAAAAGCATTTACGATGAACAATTGAGGGACCAGATTCATCATATTCTTGCTTTGAAATCCACATCTGTTGGAAGGTGGACAGTGACGCCAAGATCGATCCTCCGATCCACACAGAGTATTTACGCTCAGGAGGAGCAATGATCTTGATCTTCATCGTGGGTGGAGCCAGAGCNTGCTCTGGCTCCACCCACGATGAAGATCAAGATCATTGCTCCTCCTGAGCGTAAATACTCTGTGTGGATCGGAGGATCGATCTTGGCGTCACTGTCCACCTTCCAACAGATGTGGATTTCAAAGCAAGAATATGATGAATCTGGTCCCTCAATTGTTCATCGTAAATGCTTTTAAAGACGGAGAATATGGTATCCGGGAGAACATTTTTTAGTTGACCTCACAGGATTTGTAGCGGAGTTCTCATGAAATCTGTTTTTCTAGCGTCAAACGTAATAGGAGTCTTTAAATAAATATTTGTCTTGGCTAAAAAGTGTTTTTGTGCAATGTTTCTTATTAAAACTAAAGCACTGCATCAATAACTTTAAAGCACGTCATCAACAGTTCTGAAAAAAGGAAATACGCGAAGAAAAATACTTGTATATAAGCCTTTTTTTACCTTCTCTTCGCAGAGGATGGAGTAGTCAAAACCGTAAGGGCCTAGTTCCTACTCTAGGGAACTAATCAAAGTTAATGACCTGAACCAGGGTTTTAGACGGAAGAATGCGCGCTTTTGATCATGTCTGCATGGAAAAGGCGCCCTGTAAATGTTTAATTAGTATTATTATTATTATTATTATTATTATTATTATTATTATTAAATACAGAAGTCATGAGGGTGCAGGAGGATAGTTCCAAAGGTACCAGAACAATGTTGGTTTGGTTCAAAATGTTTTTCAACAGTAGCCATAGGTACAGATTGCCATTATATCCGACATATTTTATAAAAGTGGAACGGCCACCTTCAGAAGCCTTCCGGCGCCCTCCTAGCCCCCTCCTGTCCTCATTCAATGAAACCCATACTCAACAACTAGTAACGAGCTTTTTAAACATGCCCGCCAACTTGAAAGTACAACAACACAACGCATATGGCTTCCCGTTTTCGGGGTGCCTAAGGGGGATCCCCAAAGGTTTCAACTTTACAACAAAAACGATATCCATTCTTGAATCTAAAGATTCTTATACCTTCTTTGGCAAATTATGTTTGAGATGTTCAACTCTCCCGCCATGTATGTAGCCATACAGGCTGTGTTGTCTCTCTACACTGCTGGCTGAAAAACTGCAGTTGTAATTGATAGTGGTTTTTATGTTACTAAGCAGTTCCAGTAAATGATGGCCATGCTGTAAATGATGCCGTTTGTT